GCCACCGGGTCCGGGACTCAAACAGCGGTTGGCTACATGGGAGTTCAGAAACATAGCCATTATGCTAACTGCTGGTCCCTAGACTTTGTGAATCAGATCCTCCATGCAGCTGATGCCAAATTTACCAAGAGATCGAGCAATCAAAGAGTTATCTGTCAAAGCAATTCCCTTCTTACTGATTTTGCCATAACCTCACTTGCAGATTAGTTCATTTACTGAGTTCAGGTTCGGGTACCCCCATGCAATATGTGGTTCCATAATTCTCAACATATTGAGGCCTTGTTGAGCTTAACAAAGGTGCCATCAAAGATCTGGCAAAGACAAAGAAGCTGCAACACCTTTTGAACCTTTGGACTCACTCCATTGATACCTCTGATCCTAGTGACAAAAGCCAGTTTGGGTTCTGCAGGTAACATAGAAGTTGCCAGCTTTTCTTGCCATCGTGGCCATGTGAATCTCAGTTCTGTACATCTGCCTATATTCCCTATGATAGTGCTCAGCTTTTTCATAGATAAGCTTCCTCCTTGCCTTTCAAACCATCTTTCGAACAAACTTCTCAGGTGCTTGATCTTCAGTTCCGCAAAATTCCTTTGCTTCTTCTTCGGAGTTTCCAGCATAGCAGTAACCTTCTTCTTGGTTTCTGTTGCAGCAGGGACCATCTTTTTCTTCTCTTGAATGCTCTTCATGGTTTCCAATTGCCAGAGGACACATGTGCATGCCAGAAAGAGAGAGACAGAGAAAGGGGGAGAGGGATAAAAATGCCCCCCCCCCAAGGAAGTATGGTCACGCTGTAATCCTTTCTCCTCCATTCTCTAGCCTGTCAGGATTTAGGGCATGCATGCATATGTACCTGGTGTGTTTTTCAAGCTATTGAGGCCGGACTCTTTTTGCTATAGGGTGTGTGCACTTGCCGGAGAGACAGAAAGAGATAGAAAGTGAGAAATCCACCCCCCCCTCCCCAGGGGATGGTTGTGCCACAATCCCTTGTTCTCCACTCTCCTCTCAGAATCTTGGGCACGCACATACATGCACCTGGTGTGAATTTTAAGCTGCTGTGTCCAGGGCTCGAACCCCAGTCAACTACATGGGAGTCCAGCAACATAACCATTATGCCATCTGCTGGTCTCGGGGCTCTATCTCTTAACATTGTTACATTGGCAACTAAATGTCAATATTCAGAAAGGACAAACATTCAGACCAGAGTCAGGGTGTTTTCATTTTGGGGGTGATGGAAATGTTTTCAGATTAGATGGTGGTGATGATTATACACCTTTGTGACTATATACAAAAGCCATGACATTGTATGTATATTTTATAAAAGAGTGAATGTTATGGTATGTGCATGTTGCTTTTTTTTTTAATGGAAAAACACTCCTAAGCTCTCCTCTTCACAACATGTCAAAATACATTATAAAATAATAGACGTGTTTACAAATCTGAGAGTATTAGGAAATGTTCCCTTGTTTAATTATAAACCGAGTGGAATGTTTTGAGATTTCAGTAATCTGACAGCAAACATTAAGAGGATTAACCCGACTTTCCCAGTGTTAATAACACCAATTTAAACTGCATCATGCAAAAACTACATGGTCATATTAAAGTAATTGTAGCAATGACTGTCATGAAAAAAAAAATGCCAATTAGATTAATTACCCATTAAGGCTGTCATTAAAAATACCTTATATTTATACAATGCGTTTACTTCCTTAAGTATTGACTTGTGCCTTAAGATCTAATGTATAGGGGAATCACATCTCTAACCCCTTAATTAAGGACAGAGAAGTGGGTGCGATTTGTTAGCAACGCTGACATTCTAGGTCGGAACGCTAAGGGAAGTAGGATTTAAGACGTATAAATCCTAGCCTTCCACGCAGATAAATTGCAAGAACGAGAACTACCAAGTCCTGGAGTCCAAATAAAAAACAAAAACAAAACAAAACAAAACACTGGAATCCAACAAAAACATTAAAATGTACACATCGTGAAGTGTAGACCATGAGTTTTCTAAAGTGAACACTCCTGTGGAATCAGGATTCAGATCAAGTTAGAAAAGAGCAACCCCGATTAAGGCTGTTGCTGTTGTTTTTAGCCAAAGAGAATGTTAAAGTAGTTTAAAGCTCCCCAAGAGCAGACGCCAATCAGACCACAGTTACATCGGGGTGCTGACGTGTAAGCTGCAGTCTGCACTTTTTCTTGTTGGCAAATGTACTGACACCGCTATCCACAGTAGTTCACCTGCATTTTAACCACTCCGAGTAGTCTTTCTCTGAATCCGGAGGTTCAAAACTAGCTCCTCTATTTCCACATGTCTTAAAATTTTTCCAAGAGTTTTCCATTGGAGCAATACATCCCGATACTTCTTCCAACAAAAGTTTAATGAAATGTGGGGAGCCAGAAATTATCCCGTGAGGACCCTTTTTTCTCCTCATAGTGCTGGGCACCTTGAACCCTCTTACCGACGGAAAGAGTCCCTAGTCCGCCACGACAAACAACTCCACTGTTCCCAAAGCAGGTGGAGCTCCAAGCACAATCCAGGCGACCCAGGACCACCCTCTGCCACGGGGAAGGGGGAGGCGGGTCAGAGCACTTCCTGGGCTCTCCGCCTGGGTCCTTGGGCCGAAAGGCGACACTGTTCCTTTAACTCGGAGCGCCGCGAGGGTGTGCGGGGCAGGGCCCGATCCTCCCGCCGCCGCCTCCACCGCTCCCTTCCCCCTCCCATCCGAGTTTCAGGTGAATGGGTCACCGCGGGAGGAGGCCAGCACGCCACGCCTGCTCTGGGCGCCCACTCTCCCTCCCGCCCTCTGCGGAAACGGCTGGAGTCCTAGGAGAGGCTGCCGGGGCCGAGGAGCTGGTCCCAGGCGCAGCAGGTGGGA